TGCGTGTCTCTCTCTCTCTCTCATCATCATCATCACGGTGGCTAGGTGATGTTAACTACCTCGCCTGGTATGCAGGAGGTCGTGGGTTCGATCACGACCCTGACTGCTGCTGTATATTTGGAGTCTGCGTGTCTCTCTCTTTCTCTCTCATCATCATCATCACGGTGGCTAGGTGATGTTAACTACCTCGCCTGGTATGCAGGAGGTCGTGGGTTCGATCACGATCCTGACTGCTGCTGTATATTTAGGAGTCTGCGTGTCTCTCTCTCTCTCTCTCATCATCATCATCACGGTGGCTAGGTGATGTTAACTACCTCGCCTGGTATGCAGGAGGTCGTGGGTTCGATCACGACCCTGACTGCTGCTGTATATTTGGAGTCTGCGTGTCTCTCTCTCTCATCATCATCACGGTGGCTAGGTGATGTTAAATACCTCGCCTGGTGTGCAGGAGGTCGTGGGTTCGATCACGATCCTGACTGCTGCTGTATATTTAGGAGTCTGCGTGTCTCTCTCTCTCTCTCTCATCATCATCACGGTGGCTAGGTGATGTTAACTACCTCGCCTGGTATGCAGGAGGTCGTGGGTTCGATCACGACCCTGGCTACTGCTGTATATTTGGAGTCTGCGTGTCTCTCTCTCTCTCTCTCATCATCATCACGGTGGCTAGGTGATGTTAACTACCTCGCCTGGTATGCAGGAGGTCGTGGGTTCGATCACGACCCTGGCTACTGCTGTATATTTGGAGTCTGCGTGTCTCTCTCTCTCTCTCTCATCATCATCACGGTGGCTAGGTGATGTTAACTACCTCGCCTGGCATGCAGGAGGTACATAGCTGAGTGGGCCTTACCTGGTCAAAAAACTTTTAAGAAATGTTTTTATTTTATATAAATGTCCATGCCACTTTAATGAGCTATCATTTGTGGACAGGTCGCTTCTGAAGAAGAGCTACGTAGTTCAGGGGGCCTTACCTTGTCAAAAAACTAAGGAATAAAAAACATTTATAAATGTCCACGCCACTTTAATGAGCTATCATTTGTGGATAAATGGCTTCTGGAGAAGAGTTACGTAGCTCAGTGCGCCTTACCAGGTCAAAAAAATATATATTTTAATATTTTTTTTTTAGAAATGTCCACGCCACTTTAATGAGCTATCATTTGTGAACAGGTCGCTTAAGAGCTACGTATCTCAGTGGGTTTCACCTGTTAAAAAATTCTAATAATATTGAACAAAAATGTACTCCAGTTGCACATCAGAGATTTTTTTTTTATTTCCGTTTGTTCATCATCGAGTGCCCGAGTATTTGCATCATCACCATCATCATCATCAGCAACTGCTGCTGCTACTGCTGCTGCTGCTGCCACGGTTTGAGCAGCGGATATGGTTTAGTCTGTTGCATGCGCAGTCCATGAGCTTCACTTACCTGGTAAAAATTTGCAAAATGTCGTAGTTTTAATATCTCAGATTCCGCACCCCATCCCCCCCCCCCCCGCCAACCCCACCCCCCACCCCCCCCCCCCCCCGATCTGACCACGAGGACGGGACGAGCGGAATGCCACGCCAAGTGCGGCCGCGAACGTACGCGACAAGGCCGTGAATCGAGCATCCTCGGCGCGACCCGCGGCCTCTCCGGCATCACGGCGGAGTTGAAGGGGTCCGAGGCCCCGGTAATGACGGGGGGGGGGGGTGGGGGGAGGGATCGAGCAAAGAGATCAACGCGTGAAGGATTAACAGCGCACCTTTGATAGGTGCGAGTAAATCACGCGGCGGACTTGCGGAGATTGTTTGGCTTACGACGGCCGCGGCACGAGCGGCTATGGATTTGGAGACGATAATCGCGGAGGCGGGGGTGAACACCTGAAGGTGCGTGTGTGTGCGTGTGTGTGCGTGTGTGCGTGTGTGCGTGTGTGCGTGCGTGTCTGCGGTAGTGTAGCGGTTAGCGCGCTGCGCTATGAACCTGGCGACCCGGGTTCGATTCCCGCTCACGGCCAACACCAGTGACGATTATCTGAACCGGTCCCGGGCCTCCCCTAGGTCGACTCGGCCTCAAATGAGTACCTGGTGCGGCGTGTAAAACATCGCCACTAGGGAGACAAAGGCGGCCGGGCGTGGTGCTGGCCACCCACCCCCTCGTGTGCCGTGCCGGCCTTCATGTGTTCCCGCAAACAGCACTTGCCCCTACAGTCTGTTACAGGCTATACGGGGGATCTTTGTCTTTGCATTGTGTGTGCGCGCACGCACGTGTGTGTGTGGACAAGGCAGCCGGGAGAAGTAAATTACTAACTCCGTGTGAAGATATTCGGTGCAGCGCATTAACCACTTGGCAAATTGACTACATCTACAGACACAATGGAGCATCATGGTGCACATATGAGCTTGCTTTGGTGGGTGGATGCGTGGGTGGGTGGGTGTGTGGGTGGGCGTGTGGGCGGCCGGGTGAGTGATTGTGTCGGTGAATGAATGAGTGAGAGAGCGAATGGTTGAGTGAGCGGAAGAATGAGTGAGTGGATGAATAGGTCAGTGGGAGAGTGAATGAGTGAGTCAGCGGATGAGTGGCTGAGTGAATGAGATCATGAGTCAATGAGTCAGCGGGTGGGATAGTTAGTGGCTGAGTGAGTGGGTGAGTGATTGAGTGAGTGAATGGGATCAGTGAGTGAATTACTGAGTGAGCGTGTGTTATAAGTGATCATCGTCTGCTATCGATCCCAAGTCAGTCAACCCATGGCACCTGGGTCTGTCCCGTGACCCTATGCCAGTGGGCCTTCAACACTTCACGTGGCCTCAAGGTGCACCTAGCCTGGTATAAGTGACATGGTGACGTCACCACCAATTAGTGAGTGTGTGAGTGATTGAGTGACTAAGTTAACAGATCAGTGAGTGAGTTACAGAGCCGAGCAGTGTTGTTATAAGTGAGTGCGTAGAGTGATTGCAAGTGTGTGCCTGAGTGAGTGGGCGTGTGGGTGAGTGAGTGGGTGAGTGACTAAGTCAGTGGGTGAGTGTGTATGTGAGTGAGTGTTTGAGTAATTGAGTTAGCAAGCATGTGTTGTGAGTGAGTGCGTGGAGTGATTGCGAGTGGGTGAGTGAGTAGGGGTGAATGTGTGAGTGAGCACGTGGAGCGATTACGAGCGAGTGGGTGGGAGAGTGAGTGGGGTGGGCGAGTGGGGTGAGCGAGTGGGGTGAGTGAGTGTGTGAGTGAGCATGTGTTGTGAGTGAGTGCGTGAAGTGATTGCAAGTGGATGAGTGAGTGGGGTGAGAGAGTGAGTGGGGTGAGAGAGTGGGTGAGTGAGTGGGGTGAGCGAGTGGGTGGGGTGAGTGAGTGGGGTGAGCGAGTCGGTGGGGTGAGTGAGTGGAATGAGAGAGTTGGTGAATGAGTGGGGTGAGCGAGTGGAGTGAGCGAGTGGGTGAGTGGGGTGAGTGAGTGGAGTGAGCGAGTGGGTGAGCGAGTGAGTGAGTGGGGTGAGGGAGTGGGTGAGCGAGAGGGTGAGCGAGTGGGCGAGAGAGTGGGGTGAGCGAGTGGGTGAGTGATTGGGGTGAGCGAGTGGGTGGGGTGAGCGAATGGAGTGAGCGAGTGGGGTGAGCGAGTGGGTGAGTGAGTGGGGTGAGCGAGTGGGTGAGTGGGGTGAGCGAGTCAGTGAGCGAGTGGGTGAGTGAGTGGGCGAGTGAGTGGGGTGATCGAGTGGGTGAGCAAGTGAGTGGGTGAGTGAGCGAGTGGGTGAGCGAGCGAGTGGGTGAGTGAGCGCGTGAGTGTGTGAGCGAGTGAGTGAGTGTGTGAGTGAGCGTGTGTTGTGAGAGAGTGGGTGAGTGAGTGGGGTGAGCGAGTGGGGTGAGCGAGTGGGTGAGCGAGTGAGTGAGTGAGAGTGCGAGCGTGTGTTGTGAGAGAGTGGGTGAGCGAGTGGGCGAGCGAGTGAGCGAGCGAGTGGGCGAGTGGGTGAGTGAGTGGGCGAGTGGGTGAGTGAGTGGGGTGAGCGAGTGAGTGAGTGAGTGAGCGAGTGAGTGGGGTGAGCGAGTGTGTGAGCGAGTGAGTGAGTGAGTGAGCGAGTGGGTGAGCGAGCGAGTGGACGAGTGAGTGAGTGTGTGAGTGGGTGAGTGAGTGAGTGAGTGTGTGAGTGAGCGCGTGCTGCGAGAGAGTGGGTGAGCGAGTGGGCGAGTGAGTGGGGCGAGCGAGTGGGTGAGCGAGCGAGTGAGTGAGCGAGTGGGCGAGTGAGTGGGGTGAGCGTGTGGGTGAGCGAGCGAGTGGGTGAGCGAGTGTGTGAGCGAGTGAGTGAGTGTGTGAGTGAGCATGTGTTGTGAGAGAGTGGGCGAGCGAGTGGGTGAGCGAGTGGGCGAGTGAGTGGGGTGAGCGAGTGGGTGAGTGAGCGAGTGAGTGAGCGAGCGAGTGGGTGAGCGAGTGGGTGAGCGAGAGGGCGAGCGAGTGGGTGAGCGAGTGGGTAAGCGAGTGGGTGAGCGAGCGGGCGAGTGAGTGGGGTGAGCGAGTGGGTGAGTGAGCGAGTGAGTGAGCGAGTGGGTGAGCGAGTGGGTGAGCGAGAGGGCGAGCGAGTGGGCGAGCGAGTGGGTGAGCGAGTGGGTGAGCAAGTGGGCGAGCGAGTGGGTGAGCGAGCGAGTGAGTGTGTGAGCGAGAGAGTGAGAGAGTGAGTGTGTGAGCGAGCGAGTGGGTGGGTGAGAGAGTCGGTGAGCGAGCGAGTGAGTGTGTGAGCGAGAGAGTGGGTGAGTGAGTGAGTGAGCGAGCGAGTGGGTGGGTGAGAGAGTCGGTGAGCGAGCGAGTGAGTGTGTGAGCGAGTGAGTGAGAGAGTGAGTGTGTGAGCAAGCGAGTGGGTGAGCGAGAGAGTGAGTGAGTGTTTGAGCGAGAGAGTGAGTGTGCGAGCGAGTGAGTGTGTGAGTGAGTGAGCGAGTGAGTGTGTGAGTGTGCGAGCGAGTGAGCGAGTGGGTGTGTGAGTGAGTGTGCGAGTGAGTGAGTGTGTGAGTCAGTGAGCGAGCGCGTGCTGCGAGCGAGTCCGTCCGCGTACCCGATCGCCGACAGCGCTCGGAACTCGATGGCGGGGCAGGTGATGTGCCCGTCCGTGAGCTGCAGGCGCAGCATGCGGGGGGCTCCCTGGCAGCTCTCCTGCTCCCGGGGGGCGGCGACGTTCCGCACCTTCACCACCTGCAGGACCAGCGGACCCTGCAGCTGCACACGCGTGACCAGACACGGTGTGAGTGGGGGGGGGGGGAGGGGTTGAGGGGGGCGGCGAGGGTGACTGGAGGCCTTGCCCAAGGGCGTCAACAAGGACGTGACCACCGTCCCACGCCGCTTCGGCTGTAGGGGCACCCGCGGGTAGCAACGGGATGTTAACCACCTCGCCTGGCATACAGGGGGTCGTGGGTTAGATCCCGACTCTTGACGATGGCAGCTCTACGGTTTGCACGTTCCCTCTGTGACGTTTGCTGGATTAGGCCGGTGTCTGGACGATGAGGCCAGCGTCGTGTGGATGCATGGCCAGGGGATGGGTTACGCCAGCGAGTTCCCACCCGGTTAAACAAAATAAACTAAAACCAACGGCAGATATTTCCCAAGGTGACGACGAAGACGAGAAAAGTCACCGCTGTGAATTTCAAATCCCGGCCGGGGGCTTTTGGACTCGGCTGGCCATATCCCTCTGGGGAAGGTAACGATAAACACCGCACTTTGTGGAATTTAACAGCTGTCAACCTGAAGCCAAAGCTTGTCTCCAACCGCTGGAATGTGGAACGCACACCGGTCGACCGGGGGATGTCAATCGCGACGGAGAACCTCTGCCCCATCCCCAACGGCTCCATCGCTCTGTGTGCGCGCGCGCGGTGAGCGACGCTGCTTCCAATGGGACCCATTTCTCTCTCGGTTTATTTGGCCGTCATGAGCAGGGAGAGGAGCGGAAGCAAACCAAGAGGATAAACGGACAAGACAAGAGCGTCGGCCACATCCTAAACAACTACGCAGCACTTGCCTAGACGAGAGGTTAAGAGTTCATGTTCATGAGGTTATTTTGCTTAACCAGGTGAGACACGAAGAGACCAAGGGGAGTCTCATTTGCGAGAGCGACAGAGAATCAGTACAGGGACTTAACTAAACTTAGAGACTTGACTTCAATGCTTTTCGTGACAGAAGGAACTGATATTCTTTACGGGCTTTCGGTAAAGTCACGTAGATAGATTCAAAGAAAATAACAAAAATAGCGAACAAATCTACGACGTTGCCATCGAAACGTCGTAGCTTTTTTGCCATTTGAGTTATTTTTCCCGAAAGGCCCAAAGGATGGAAACTACAGACTAATTTTTTTTGGGTATTTTACCGGGTGAAGCCCCACCGAGCTATGTAGCTCTTTGTGAGAAGCGACCAGGCTGCAGCAGATTGCAGCCCAACGAGGTGGCTTATCGCGTGGAAAAAATCGGAGGACCGGGAGGGAAAAATCTCAGCGGCCATGGGGAGAGAGACACGCAAACTCCAAATATACAGAGGGTGTCGGAGGGTGTGGGGCGGCCGGCGCCACGCCCGGCCGCCTTTGTCTCCCCCGTGGCGATGTTTACTGCACAGCGCACCAGGTACTCATTCGAGGCCGAGTCGACCTACAGGAGGCCCAGGACCGGTTCAGATATTCGTCACCGGTGTTGGCCCGTGATCTCGGGTGGCCGGATGCGTAGCGCAGCTAACCCGCCACACCGCCGCTCCCCACAATGACCGCACGCACGCACGCACCCACGCACACACACACACAGAGAGAGAAAAAAAATCCCAATGATACAATAACAGCAGCAATAACAACAACAAATTGCCACTGCATTCCCACGTGCGAGTGAGCTCCAGCCTTTGGATGGCTTACTCGGGGACTGTTGGGGCCAATCACCCACAGAGGTGAGACGGGTGCAATCCCATCAGCTGTGCAGGAGGTTCGTGGGCTCCATCCCGACCCTGACGCCTGCTGCATCTTTGCAGTTTGCGTGTCTCTCTCTCTCTCTTATAATCGTCACGGTGGCTAGGAGATGTTAACTACCTCGCCTGGTATGCAGGACGTCGTGGGTTCTCGATCCCGACCCTGACGCCTGCTGTATATTTGCAGTTTGCGTGTCTCTCTCTCTCTTATAATCGTCACGGTGGCTAGGAGATGTTAACTACCTCGCCTGGTATGCAGGAGCACGTGGGTTCCCGATCCCTGCTGTATATTTGGAGTTTGCGTGTCTCTCTCTCTCTCTTCCTGTGGCCCCGTGGATTTTTCTCCGGGTGCTCCGGTTTTTCCCTCCACGTGCATCTAGAGCAGCGTGGTCCTTAACCTTTATTGCAGCCTTGCACCCCTTTGGTTGTCAATCGTTAAACAATTTCTTACGCCAATAAATACACGTGGGTTTGATGGAACAAGGTAGTTGTGTCTTCTTTGGTTCTTTCGGTAAAGTCACCACGTAGAATGAGAATAAAATAATAAAATAACACAATAAAATTCTCACGACGTTTCGGCCACAGCGCAAGCGGCCGTCTTCAGGTGAAAAGTACAGACCTGTCGGGACGACAGAGCTTCAATGAACAGAGAGCTTCAATACAATCAATCAATACAATCAATCAATGAACAGAGAGCTTCAATACAATCAATACAGACCTGTCGGGACGACAGGTCTGTATTGAAGCTCTGTCGTCCCGACAGGTCTGTACCTTTCACCTGAAGACGGCCGCTTGCGTTGTGGCCGAAACGTCGTGAGAATTTTATTGTGTTATTTTATTACTTTATTCCCATTCTATGTGACCTTACCGAAAGAACCAAAGAAGATGAATCCTTGCAGTCACGAAAGCTTTCAATCGAAAAGTAGTTGCACTCACGTGGCCTGTGCTTAATTTGTGCTTCGATGATGTGCCTTCTAAAAAAATCTGAACACGTGTCGCATCCCCCAGAAAGGGCATCTCTCACCAGTAGGGCGTAGCGTGATGCACCCCCAGGTGAAGAACCGCAGTTTTAGAGCATTCGGCTGCCACAAATGTCCACGTGATCATAAGCCGCTCCGTTGAGCTGTCAATTGCTGTGGCCAGGTCGCTTGTGACAAAAAGAGCAACTTTATAGTAGCTCAAGATGGGCCTTACCCGGTAAAATAAAATAAAATCACTATTTTTCTAATAGTTTCAAGGGTATTTGGTGACGACCTCTTGGGTCACCTCCGAGCCCTCCCACAGCGTGACACCTGGAGGCTCTGCTGTCTGGGGATCTCAGTATCCTATTCTCCCTTTTTTTTGTATTCATCCCACCAGGGTAAGGCCCCACTGAGCTATGTAGCTCTTCTATAGAAGCGCCCTGGCCATCACACAAGCGATAGCCCCGAAAGGAAGCGGCTTATCGTCATCGCGTGGACATTCACGGCAGCCAGATAACTCCGAAAGGCCCGACGTCGACTCTAAATAGCGGAGGCGGGAGAGAAAGAAAAAAACAGAGGATCCGGAGAAATAAGCACGCGACCACACGGAGACAGAAAGACAGTCGCGCAAACTCCAAATGTGCAACAAGCGGTCTGGGTCGGGATCAGGATCGAACCCACGACCTCCTGCCGACAAGGCGAGGTAGAGTCACGAAGAATGAGAATAAAATAATAAATTGATAAAATAAAATAACACAATAAAATTCTCACGACGTTTCGGCCACAACACAAGCGGCCTTCATCAGGTGAAGGGACGAGACTGTCTGGTAGGACAGCGCTGTCCTCCAGCGCTGTGTTGTGGCCGAAACGTCGTGAGAATATTATTGTGTTATTTTATTTTTCGATTTAAAGCTTTCGTGACTGCAATGATTCATCTTCTTTGGTTCTTTCGGTAAAGTCACGTAGAATGAGAATAAAATAATAAATTGATAAAATAAAATAACACAATAATATTCTCACGACGTTTCGGCCACAACACAAGCGGCCTTCATCAGGTCCTACCAGACAGTCTCGTCCCTTCACCTGATGAAGGCCGCTTCTTGTGTTGTGGCCGAAACGTCGTGAGAATATTATTGTGTTATTTTATTTTATCAATTTATTATTTTATTCTCATTCTACGTGGTGGTGACTTTACCGAAAGAACCAAAGAAGATGAATCCTTGCAGTCACGAAAGCTTTACATCGAAATTTAAGGCGAGGTAGGTGACACCCCCAGAGTATATGGACGGTGTGGTACCCCAGCGCCTCCCTTCCAATGGCTGGGATATAATGTTGCAACAACTAAATAAGTATGAATCAACCCGAGCCTCTAAAACTACTTTCCCACACTGCCAGCGCCGCAGGCAGAAATGACCCAATTTCGAGAGGGTTTAATTGCGCATAGGAATTATTTGCACGTAAAACTGGATTAGGCGCATCAATACCTGTACCGGTATTTAATGAGTTGGTACCTTTGCCTATGATGTTACTCTGGAATACTTAAGGTCAACAAGACAATTTCATTCGTATTCTTACTATTTTTTTTCCAACAGACTGCATCCTGAGATTCATTGTTGGCAACATTAATTTTCTGAGAGAGGTAAGCATGAGGCAAAATTAAATGAGCGCTGTGTCCGTTGGCTTCAGCGGAATTGTGAAATGTGGAACTGCGATTTTTTGGGAAATGCAGCCGGGCTGAAAAACGGCGTAGTGCTTCACGCAGGCAGACAGACTCGCTTACACGCACAAACGAGCGCACTCACACACAGACACTCACGTACACACTCACACACACACACACGCGCGCACACACACACACGCTCACACACACACACTCACGTACACACTCACACACACACACACGCGCGCACACACGCTCACAGACATGCACACACGCCCACACACGCTCACACACACAAACTCACACGCGCACACACACACGCGCACACACACACACGCGCACACACACACACACACTCACGTACACACTCACACACACGCGCGCACACACGCCCATAGTCACGCACACACTCACGCACACACTCACACACACACTCTCACGTTCACACACACAAACTCACACGCGCACACACACTCTCACGCTCACACACACTCTCACGCTCACACACTCTCACACACACACACTCATACGCGCACACACACACTCATGTGCACACACACTCACACACACACGCACGCACTCACACACTCACGTGCGCACACACGCTGATAGACACACACACACACGCACACGCTCACACAAACAAACTCACATGCGCA